ATTTCTCTCTCCTCTCTCAGCATTGCACATGGTGGGATGGAGACCACCCATTGCCAAAAACATCAAACCCACTGCCACAGAGTTGATTCTGACTCAAAGTGACCCTTTAGGACAGAGTAGAACTGCCCTGAAGAGTTTCCAAGGCTGTAAATCTTTACTGAAGCAGACTGCTGCATCTTCCTGCCAAGGAGCAGCTAGTGGGTTTGAACCATCAACCTTGTGGTTAGTAGCCAAATGCTTAACCACTATGCCACTAGAGTTCCTTACCAACCATGGGACAAGGAAGTAATTTTATCTCTAAGGCTCTGTGAAGCCCTGACAATGCAGACAGTAGAGTTCATTCAAAGAGATGGAAAATCCTACTCAAGGGAATAGGACTTTTGTGGTAACGGTGACCCTGTAATATTTCCTGTGCCTGCTATAAAATCAAACTCAATCCACTCACACCAGTTACACAGGTAATGGCAGTCAGATGGAAACTAAACTACATTTACTTTTAAAAGAGACTTCCCTCTGCAAATGCAGGTCCTTGCTTCTTTGTTCTTAATCCCAGATCCCCTTGGCAAACTCTCCTGTGTAATCTCCCAGAACAGCTGGGTCAAGATTGCATTGTCAATTATTAAATGTCCATGTTCCCTGCAAGGCAGCATTTAATCATGAGGCACTCCAAAAAAAGTATGACATAGAAAGGAGGGGAAGGAAGCCAGTGGAGAGGCAGTTTTCATTCTTTCAACATTAAACCAGAGGGATTTGGAGCACAGATGGCACCCTGTTGTCTTTCTGAATAAACTGCAAGACACTGACCATGCCCAAGGTAACCAGCTTCTTCTCTTATTGCTCAGGAGGCCCATTCCATAGCTATTTTGTAGATGTTTCTTTTAAGAGATGTATAGTCTTATTAATTTGTTATCCTTACTACCCTAAGTTTTTCTGTTAATTTACATTGATGGAAGAGTTACTGAAATTTTGGCATCCACGAACTTCCTATTGATCTGAATCCCTGAATCTCAGGGAAGCCACGCTTTGTCCCTTTTCTAGAGTGTAAAGGGTCACCTTGGCATGCAGCCTGTCAGTAAATGCAGTGATACAGCTTTTCGTATGGCTGTTATTTCTTTGCAATTAACTGTAGCTTAAGGAAACCCAAACCTAACCCACTGCCATCGAGTTGATTCTGACTTATAGCGACCCTGGAGGACAGAGTCGAACTGCCGCCTTCGGTTTACAAGGCTGTAAATCTTTATGGAAGCAGATTGCCTCATCCTTCTCCTGCGGAGCAGATGGTGGGTTTGAACTACCAGGATTTTGGTTAACATTCTTAACCACTGCACCCCCACAGCCCCTTTCACCTTAAGGAAATCATTGCAAAATTAAATTTGTTCTTCCAGTTCAAGAGGTATCTGAATCCTGGGGAGAAAAGGCATGTTTTCAGGAAGTAGAGAAATATGTGACAAAGAATATGGCTCTATAGATGTTGAAGATAATCCTTGAAAATGATGATCTTTATGTCTGTCCTTAAGGAGCTCTGGTAGTGCTGTAGTTAAGGCATTGGGCTGCTAACTAGCAGGTAAGTGATTCAAACTCACCAGCTGCTCCATAGAAGGAAGATGAAGCAATTTACTTCCATAAAGATTTATAGCCTGGAAAACCTGATGGGGGTTGCTATGAGTCAGACTCGACTCAGTGATAGTGGTTTTTGGGTTGTGTCTATCCTTAATGGCCACACCTTCTGGAAAGACTATCTTTGAACTTCAACCCAAGCTCATTTTCATCCTTTGTTTCTCAAATGCCTTCTTCCTTAAATCAGTTGTCACCTTGGTACAGCAAGATGGGTGAACCTTGACGTGGACTTCATTGTTCTTATTTCTGAATAACCTGAAAAATAACTTAGAGATACTTGTAACTTAAAATGGATTGAGTGTGGAGTTAGAATCTGATGTAAAGGGGACAAATTTCTAAATCAAGTAAGATTGAAATTGAAGTTATTGAAAATGAACCCTGAGATTACAAAATTTAGAATTGCCTAGATCCTTAATTCAGTTTTTATACAGAATGATGAATGAAGATGTTTTACCTGGAAGCCCATTTCCTATTGGAACAGTGGATATAAGAATAACTTTAAAGGATTATTTATTAGAAAGAATAATGCATATTAGCACAATTTCTAAAATCAATAGGATTGTCATAACGGAAAACATTCTTTTGGGAATAGGGGCAACATATGATGCCTGTATCTGGCAATATAAGATGCTTCCTTCCTCCAGATGCTACAGTTTTTGAATCCTAGCCAATGTCATCCAGAGTCTTGCAAGTACTAACAATTCTTGGTGGAGTTAATTTGTTGAATGGTTAAAAAAAAAAAAAAAAAAAATTATATTAGCAGATTGCTTCCCAGAAGCTATTTTATTGTATGTTTTATATATGAGTTTTTACATACATATGAGCCTTGTGTATTTCTTATTACCATAAATAATATGCACTCTGTTTGTTGCATGTACTGTTTTAATCCCTGGGAATTCTGAAGAATAAACTGCTCCAAGACAAAGTTCGCTGTTAAATGTAGAAAATGTTAAGCTGGGGATGATGAGAAAGGCAGATTTATGGCCCTGTCCCATTTAGCTATGGTTTTATTTACATCTCTTAAGCTAAGCAGATTTAGAGCTGATTAACTCTGATATGGGAGATCCCCTAGGAAGCTCAAGATGGTTTACTCTAAGCAGTGTCTGTCAGCAACTAAGGATATGCTTCTTTCCTGTTCAGTGTGTATTCATTTAACACTATAAATCTCCATAAACAAAGTACAGGACATGTCAAATTTTCATTTTTCTAAGTCATATTAAATCAGGCTCCAAGCCACCCCTTGCTAAAGTGGACACGTCCAATTCATGGTTCTTCTTCAAGTAGACCTCCTTTTTCTCTTAGGCTGAGCAAAGTGCTGGACAATGAAGGGGGAGGCAGAGATTCTAGCCAAGTCACACTGATCACGGCTACCTTTTGCAGTTCACATTGCTGCTCCATCAGCTGCCGAGATGCAACACTGGCCACCCCCCCCCCCTCCCCACCCATACCCCGCCCCCCACCCAACTCCAGTTTCCAAGGTTCCTCTGCCCCAACCAAGGGCTTGGCCATGGACACCCAACCACTGCTCCGTGGCCCCATACTTAGTGTCTAGTCTCCACAAGCACCACATAGCCATCTTCCATTTAAGATTCTGTCATCTCGGTGACAATGGTGGAAGATGGGTCAGATCTCAAAACCCACTGGTCCCCAGGACCAGGGGTTTCAATAGCCCCGCATTGCTCTCTTTTATCTTCAAAGTTCCAAACCTCCATCTGCTGCCCCTGGAGAGGATCCCCTTTAACATTAGTTGATAGAACACATCACGTCCCTTTTACTCCCTTCAGAGGACTCTGCACTGTGGCGGAGGGGAAACGGATGACTCACTTTGTTACAATAACAACCTCAGCAAGTCAGTGCTGGGACACTTAATGGAAACAAAACCGAGAATAATTACTACAAAAAGTGTTTAGAGTGCTTCCAATTCTTTTTCTAAATCTTATATGTGATAGCCTTAGGGGCTTAATCACAGTACGACTGAGGTTATTATCTGATGTTTAATCAAATTATCCTTAATAAGCCATTCCTTGAGTGTCTAATGTGCAAAATACCATGCTAGACATTGTAGAAAAGATAAAATTAAAAAGACATGTTTGCTACCTAAAGTCAGTTTGAAGTCTTGACGAGGAGATAAGACATAACCACAAATAAATATGGTAAGAGCATCATGTTGCTGTTGTTATGTGCCATCAAGTCAGACCCGACTCATAGCAGCCCCACCTTGGGCTTCCGAGGCAGTATCATTACGGAAGTAGATTGCCCAACCTTCCTTCTGAGGAGTGGCTGGTGGGTTTGAACGGCCAGCGTTCTGGTTAGCAGTCAAGTGCCTTAGGCACTATGCTACCAGAGCTCCTAAGAGCATCATGGAGAAGGTAAAAACCAGGTTTCTTTGAAGCCCTTCCAAGCTTCACTTCCCATGGAAGGTGCCAGTTAGGGGACCTTCGTAGTGGAGATGGAGCTTGGGATAAGTCTTGAGAGGGGCAGGATTTCAATAGACAGAGACCAGATAAAATATTTGTAGTGATGCACCTTGTCTTTCTCTTATGCAGTCCCTGCTGGACTAAAGGGTACCAGCTATTGGTTGTCCTTCTTACTACTGCTCAGAACACATGATGTGATGGGGTTATCATGAAACTTCCACAAAGATAGGCATTCTTCCTAAGGTCTGTCTATTATCTGGAGGCCAGACAGAGACTACTCTCACCTTTTGGGGTAGAAATGGAAGGTTATTTTTATTTATTCTTTTGTTTTTTAAATAATATTTTTTATTGTGGTAAATTAACATAAAATTTGCCATTGTAACCATTTTTAAGTGTACAGTTCAGTGGCATTAATTACATTCACAATGTTGAACAACTATCACGACTATTTCCAAAACTTTTTCATCACCCCAAACAGAAACTCTACCCAAAATTTCCAATTCATTCTGACTTCTGCATCCTTCATTATACTTTGTCCTATCTGGTTGTTCTCTTCCATCCCTACGTCTGTGTATTGCTGTATATCATCTCCACAGTCCAGCCCTGCTCATTATTTGATCTCCACAAATCACAGCTTGCCTTCTGTGGGGACCACTCAAGGATCAACTTAAATAGACGTTATCACTACGGTGCTTGCTTCAGGCCACTCCTGAAGCACAGCGGCCATATGGCTGCATGGAGAAAACTTCCAGAGGTTAGCTTACCAGTCAGTGTTGAAGAAATGTGGCTTGAGTTTGAGGAGCCACTGGGAAGGATGTATATGTGTATTTTAGTTTCCCCAAGGGATCTTACCCAGGCAAAGAACCAACTAGACTAGCTAAGGGCTAGGGCTGGAAAAGTATAGCACAGCCCAGATATGCAGGCTCTCAAGCTCTCTTCCTGTCCATTTGTGTTTGTCTGTTATAGATGGAGTTCCCGAAGGTCCTCCCCAACCAGAGGACCTTCCTATCTGCCGTCCTCAACATGCTATCACTCAGCCTCTCCACAGCATCCCTGCTCAGCAACTACTGGTTTGTGGGCACACAGAAGGTGTCCAAGCCCCTGTGCGGAAAAGATCTGGCAACCAAGTGCTTTGACATGCCGGTGTCCTTGGCTGGGGACAACACCAACACATCAACCCAGGAGGTGGTGCAGTACAGCTGGGAGACTGGGGATGACCGGTTCTCCTTCCGCACCTTCCACAGTGGCATGTGGCTATCCTGTGAGGAAATCATGGAAGAACCAGGTAACCCTCACCCCATCTGCCTGTTTGTTTGTTTGTTTCCCCCAAAGGATCCTATCCAGGCAAAGAGCCCCTGCTGGGCTAGATAAGGGCTGGGGTAGGAGTGGGAAGTCCAGCACACACACCAGGCCTCACCTCCAGGCTCAGTATCATCTACCCCTGTGAGGTGTCCCTTCTCCATAGGGATCCCTTTTAACCAAGTCAGAAGTCCATCTGGTGTTTCATCTCTTGCCTCTTTACTAGTGGATGCCAACAAAGGGTCTCGCTGATATCAAGTAGGATTTATCTTGAGGATGGCATTTAGACCTTTAAGATTATGAGAATATCCATTCTAGTAAGTGAGAATTGCTATTTAGAAACAAACCAAGTTGAGATGAATATTGTAAATAAATAAATAAAGTCCTAGCTAGCTCTACCTAGCTATGACCTTACAGTTGACTCTTGAACAACAGATGCTTGGGAAGCCTACCCTCTCTGCACAGTTAAAAATCTGCATGTAACTTGTGACTCCCCCAAAACTTACTACTGTTAACTGAAAGCCTTCCAGATAACATACACAGTCGATTAACAGTTTTTACCATACAGTTATTAATTTTCACACAAAGACACACACACACACATACAATAGATAAGTTTATTAACTGCACGGCATAATGATTATTTACTATTCTTTAAGTGGAAGTGGATCATCATCAAGGCCTTCATCCTCCTCATCTTCATGTTGAGTAGGCTGAGGGGGGAGGAGGAAGAGGGGTTTGTTGTGCTGTCTCAGGGGTGGCAGAGGCAGAAGAGGTAAAAGAAGTGGAAGGGGAGGAAAGAGAGGCAGGCACCCACAGTATTAACTTTACCAAAATCCATTGTGATTTTCCTGACTTTTTTCCTTGCTCATTTCTCTAAAACTGTTCCTATACAGTATTTTCTTCCACCATTTGCTCTAGTTTCAGTGCTACAGAAGCGCCCATCCGTGTCATAAAAGCAGTCAAAAGCAGTCTTGAATAATCACAGCCTTTCTGCCAGATTGCCTAATCTCAATTTATTTTCTGGCACTGTTTTTCTATGTCTTCTTCCTTATCATCTGGCACTGTTTCAGAAGCACTCATCTCCATCAAAATGCCTTCTGTTCATTTCTCTGGTGTGGTGCCCGTTAGCTCTCTTGGAAAACATCCCCATATTAGTGGACCCATGCAGTTCAAACTCATGTTGTTCAATAGTCAACTGTATGGGAATAACTTCATCTTTACAGGCCTTGATTTTCTCATGGTGAGATTAAACGATCAGAGGACCCAAAACCAAAGTCACTGCCATCAGGTCAATTCTACCTCATAACATACCCCATTCAGAGCAGCTGATGTGTTTGAACCGCCAGCCTTCCAGTTAACAGCCAATTGCCTTACCCACTACGCCACCAGGGCTCCTTAAAAGATCAGAGTAGAACACCTTTAAAGCCTCTTCTACCCCACCTTGCCCTATCCCTCCGCCAAAAAAAGTCTAAGTTTTCTCATTCTAAGTATTATTGTTGCAATTTTAAAGGAACTGAAGCCAGAGAGGATAACTAGATCATATAAGGAGGCCCATGAGGAGCTGAGATAGACCCTCCTAGATCTCTTGCTACCTTGGTGCATACCAGCCAAACAGGCATTGTGCCTACATATATTAGTCAACACGGGTTCCTCAGGTTTGAAGGAATTAGACTGAGAACTCCAGCTCCTCCCGCCACACAGCATCCAACAGTCATCTTGTGGCTTGGAAAGAGAGCTCCTGGTAGGGAATTTTTTTCTAGTCTTTATATTCCTAATGGAGAGCTCTGATGGCTTAGTGCTTAAGGCATTTGACTGCTAATCAGAATGCTGGCAGTTCAAACCCACCAGCCCCTCCTTGGAAGGAAGAATAGGCAAGCTACTTCTGTAGAGTTACCGCCTTGGAAGCCCAAGGAGGGGTCGCTGTGAGTCGGATTCGACTTGATGGCAATGAGTTTGTTATTTTATATAGATATATATTCCTAATGGGCTAAGTTGAAAAGAAGATGAAAGGGGAATATAAATGTATGTGTATTTATAATTGTAAATGATTGCGGTGCCATTTAGCACTTCTCTACCCCCAGTGCTGGAAACAATTTAGAGCTATTCAGTCCACTAGCACAACAGCAGCAAAAAAGATAGCGGTTAATATTAGAATTGTTAACTCTTCTAGATACAGGAAATGGGAACATTTTTCTGTGTAGGCACTCTCAGGGAAACATCTTGCTCTTTATTACCAGTAATAGAGAAGAAGGAAATTAATTTGGATGACTCTTGTCCATGCTATTCATTTATCCTGGCATTTCTGCCACCCTTCAAGAGAAATTTATTGATATTATGATATACTAGGCAGGCACTGTGCCAGAGTAAACGGAACAGCACCAGACCTGGGTTTGGGGGAGGCTTTCATCTCAATTGTCCCAGAAAGCATCTCCACAAAGTTGTATCTTGTATATGTTTCAGGCGAGAGGTGCCGAAGCTTCAATGAACTCACACCACCAACCGAGAGAGGTGAGAAAGGACTGCTGGAATTTGCCATGTTGCAAGGCCCATGCTACCCCACTGTCCAATTCGGAGGGAAGCAGTTGATGGAGAAGGCTTTTCTCCCCCACCTTCCCTTTGGGCTTGTGGCAAGTATGTAGGTTTGATTATAAAATTTAGTTGCTATTAACATGATCCAAATTACACAGGCAGTCCCTGAATTATGAACAAGTGCAATTTCTAAATCTGTCTTTAAGTAAGATTTTTATGTAAGTCAGGACAGTTAGGTATGGTTTGTATCTAACATCAATTAGTCAAATGCTTGTCTTTAGAGTGTATAGTGTACCTTTCTATGCATAAAAAAAAATTAAAGAAATACTTCCAGATAATTAATATATCTTCAACATAATAACACAGTAATAGTAACGTTTTGATGCACATTGCAAAGTAGCACCCATTTACAGGGCTTTACGGGGGTTGTTTAGTAACTACAGGTTGCACGTAAATCAGACATCCATAACCCAGGGACTGCCTATACTTTGATCTGCTTTTTCTTTCTGTGCCCCACTGGGTGACTCAAATCCCTCCTCTATGAAATCCCTTTCATTCATCTTCAATCAAGAATGCAAAAATGTAACAGCAGGGATAAAGTTCACAAATAGAAAATCACCAACAGCTCTTACTCCTTTACCAGCTTTTGCCAAGTAACAATGTTGAATCACAATTTTTTGTAAAATGGAAGGACAAAGGAAGGATGGGGAGGTGGGGGAGAAGAAAGGAAGAAGAGGAGAAAGAAAAAAAACTGATTCTCTCAAAATTAAATAAGGAAAAAGTTATATCCCTGCAAGATTTTATGAAAATTGGATTATTTCTTCTCAAATCTCCCTAACAGTATTTTCAGTCAATCAAGTTTACTTGATTCTATTTTGAATACTGAACAGACTGGGAGCTAAGGGCTGATATCAAAGAACCTAAAATATAGTGATGTTCCTAGCTGGTTTCAGTTGTCTCATTCTCCCCATCTCTGATACTCCTAGGCTTTTTACTTCTAATAAGCATCATGTGTTCACCCATTAGTTCAGTTATTAACTGTCAGGGTGAGCAGTCCTTCTTCCTCTGGTTTCTCACAGAGATCCTCTGGTTATCACTGGGAGCCCAAATCACCTACATTGGACTACAATTCACCAGCTTCCTCCTGCTACTAATGGACTTGCTATTCACTGGAAACCCTGGCTGCGGACTCAAGCTGAGTGCCTTTGCTGCCATTTCCTCTGTGCTGTCAGGTGAGTGGCTCCCAAAGGGGCAGAGGTGGTTGTCCTCAGCCACCTTTGAAGCTAAAGAGTATGAGTATCCCGAGGGGAGGAGGAGGAGCCCAAAGGCAGTACGAAGAATGGAGCATGAGATACATTACAAAATGATTAATTTCTAAGTTCATTTTATTAACGTTCTTAATATAGTTTGGTTTCTTTTTCAGTCATGACATACACACAACTTTTCAAGACTACCTTAGTTGGATAAAGTGAGAGATACATATATAAAATCAAGAATAATGTATGCACTGCTAGAATGTCCAAATATATCATAGAGCTAACAAGGGGTAAAGTTATGATAATTTCTTGGCCACAGCCAATTACGCTGAAGGAGAGAGTAATTGAACTTGTGGGCTTGGGACCATAGCCACAGGGACATCAAGTTCAATTGACAAAACATACTACACAAAAACATTATTCTGCATCCTACTTTGGTGAGCAGCAACTGAGGTTTTAAAAGCTTGTAAGTGGCCTAGAACAACGAGTCTGTTCTCATTCAGAGCAAAGAAGAATGAAGAAAACCAAAGACACATAGAAACAATTAGTTCAAGGGATGAGTAGACCATGCAATCCGCAGTCTATATGACCATAAGACTAGAAGAACTAGATATGGTGCCTGGCTACCACTGTCAACCACTTGGAAAGGGATCAGTGCAGGAGATCCTGGATAGAGTGGGAGAACAATGTGGAACAAAACTCAAAAGCATTAAAAAAAAGAAAAATATGTTTACGGCTCTGATAGAACCTAGTGAGACCCCTGAGACTGTGGCCCCTTAGTTACCCCTCAGGTCTGGAACTGAACTCACTCCTGTGGCTTCCAGACAAACAACAGACAAACATATAGGCTGAACATTTGTAATAGATAGATACATTCCTTGGAGTGATCAAAGGGCAGTGTTTGCACAGGGAGATAGTTTAGCGGGTAGGAATGCATAGGAAAGAAAGGCACAGGGAGAAAGTGAGAAGAAAGCTATTAAATTGTGGGGAATTGCAGTCAATGTCATGAAACAAAATGTGTATAAACTGCTATGTGGAAAATGAATTTGCTCTGTAAGCTTTCACCCAGATCACAAAAATTTAAAAGAAAAAAAAAAAAAATACACTAATTGAACAATTGCTTTTAAAAAAAAAGAATCAAGTCAATAGTCGGGGTATGGGCAGGATAGGTAAAAGGGAGCAGTGGCCCTGAGTGCAATGCCCTTGGTGTGGCATTAGCATGGTGCCTAAACACTTGACTGCTAACCAGAAGGCTAGTGGGTCAAACCCACCAGCCACTCCTCAGAAGGAAGATGGGGCAATCTACTTCCTTATGGTTACTGCCTCGGAAACCCAAGGAGGGGTCGCTATGAGTTGGGTCAAAGATGTGAACTCAAGAAGTCCCCATTGCTGATTAGTCTCCTTGGTAATGTGGTGGTTCATGGATAATAGAATGCCCCAAGCTAGACCTGCACGTTGATGCAAAATGAAGAGGTTGCTCCAAAATTATACTTCCATTAGATGGTGAAGACACCCTTTGTCTAAGGGCTCTGCCTTTCTGTTTGCTCTGTAGGCCTTCTGGGGATGGTGGGCCACATGATGTATTCACAAGTATTCCAAGCAACTGCCGATTTGGGTCCTGAGGACTGGAGGCCACATGCTTGGAATTATGGCTGGGCCTTTTAGTAAGTATTTATCATCTCCTGAATCTTCCTAGTCCCTTCCCCAGTCAACCTTCATTAGATTTTCTCCCCTCAACTAGATGCTTGCTCTGTGTCTTTCTACCTTCTCTTCATTCCTTATCTCAGAAGTCTGTCACAGTCAAACATAGGGCTGGACCATCAGGTCGTAGCCACTCTTTCCCCAGCTCCTGAAGACAGAGAGGATCCTTCCAACCCATTTTGTGAGGGTGTTGCCTTGTCCACTTGTTCTGCTGATAGAGCTGTAGCAATCACGTCTTCCCCCAACATATATGTTGCCCATGGGAAATGAAACACTCTGTATGGCTTATGGAAATTCTTTATATTTTATAGTTATATTGGAGGACTCAAGGCATTGGAGGACAGAGGAACTGAAGAACTAGCCTTAAAATTTGGATTTAATTCCATTCCTTGTGAATGACTCTCTCTTCTCTTCTAATTTCTTTCTCCTACTTCCATTTTTATTCCATAAAACTGTTAGAAACAAAACTTTGCCTACCCCTAGTCATTCCCTAATTTTTAAAGGACTAAGAGTCAGTTATTTTAGATCTCTCTTTAAAAAAAAAAAAAAGCCAGAAGTAACAAACACATTCAAGCTTAACTTTCCCATCATTCTAAAGCTTCTCATTTTTTCCCTATAGGAGATTGAACACTCTTTATACACTGCATAGCTGCCACTTCAGACTTGAATTTCCTTTCTTAAGAAAGCAATATAAAAACCTATATAGGATTTTTTTTCTTTGAATGTCTTATAAGATTCTATATCCCTTCTCATGGTTTAATATATGCTATTTGATTCAGTGGTATTGGTCTACTCCACTAGCCACCTTATCAGTTTAGCTCATTTTTCAAACCCAGAGTTTCTCACCTTTGGCTATCTTCAAGCCATTCTGAGTACAAACTACAAAACTCTCAGCCCAGCTGCTAAGCAGTCTTAATAGTTTATCAGAGGCAGTAAAGAGGAACATACAGAACCTGCACATGGCCTGCCTCTAACCATCACTTGGCCTCACAGAATCTCTCACTAACTCACAAAACTTCCTGTTTCCTGAGCTTCCCAAAATTATGGGGAGGTTTAGGGGTTTGGCCTTCCAAGTTTTTAAGAATATATTTGCTATAGTTCTCTGGGTTTTTGTTTTTTTTCTTTCCTGAATTTATTCAGTTTCTCTTCATCTCTAGCTTCTCTCCCGTGCATTATAAACTCTCTTATGTCAAGAACCACAGTTTTCATAATAAGCAAATTTCACTAGTGCAACCTATAATGCCACCAGATTTGTACCAAATGTTTCTTAAATGCTTCTCAAAGGCTCTAAGATAGCTACAAAGGGTGGAGGAGGAGAGATGATTCCTCTTGGCCTCTCAGTGAAAGAAATCTTTCACAGGTGTATGTGTCTTGGGAGCTCTGGTAGCATAGTGCCTAAGGCACTTGACTGCTAACCAGAAGGCTGGAGGTTCAAACCCACCAGCCACTCCTCGGAAGGAAGGTTGGGCCATCTACTTCTGTAGTGACACTGCCTCAGAAACCCAAGGAGGAGCCGCTATGAGTCCAGCCCGACTTGACCACAGTGTGTTTGGTTTTTTTGTTTTATGTGTCTTGGGGGAAGGAAGGGATAAAGGCTGTTGCATTAGGCTATGCCCACTATATACAGGTGAACTAAATGCCTTTGGAATCTTGGAGATTACAAAAGGTAAAAGATCATAGACAATTATAAACACACATACATACACACACACACAGAGACCTGGGTAAGATAAAAAAGCATGGCATTCCACACAACTAATCAACTGAGTGAAAACAACTGTTAAACCCCTTGTCTGATTTTCATACTTAATGAGTCATTTTCTCTTATTATAAATCACTGATAATGTACCTGCCAAAGACAGACCAAATTTAAGTCCTCTTGCCTGTCCATAGTTCTTTACCTGGAATATGGAAGAACGCAGAATACGGAGGAATGCAGCACTTTCAGGCCCCTAAATTCCTAAAAGGCACTGGCCTAGTCTACTAAAATGAAGAAATGGTTGTGTTTTGTTTTCACCCCTGTGAGAAAGATACTTATGGTCTACCTTTTGTGTACTTTTTTCCCTAGCACGGCCTGGGTTTCCTTCACCTGCTGCATGGCATCTGCTGTCATCACCTTTAATATGTACACCAGGATGGTGCTGGAGTTCAAATGCAGGCACAGTAAGACCTTCAAAGAAAACCTGACTTGCCTCCCACATCACCACCAGTGTTTCCTTCAGCAACTGTCATTAGCAGCCCACCCGAGGGGACCTTTGACCAGCTGCCACCAGTATCAAAATCAGCCCATCCGCTCTGTCTCTGAAGGAGTTGACTTCTACTCAGAATTACAGAACAAGGGATTTCAGCAAGCACCCAGCCAGCAGCTGAAAGAAGTGGTTGGGTCATCTGTAGAGGAAGAGCAGTGTTAGGAATAACTGGGTTTAGAGTACAGGCTAAGCCCTACCTTACCTGTTTGTTACCAACATGTGCTTAAGCCTAAGTTTGTTTCTTGAGTATGGTTTTTAGAGTCTAAGAATAAGGGTATCTTAAAGTCCAAGTCCAGTGGGGCTCCCAGATGCCACTGCTCCCTTCTGCTTCAGAGCTTGTCTGGTTTCACCCATCCCCCATGTTTCCCGTAGCCACCACAACAAATTATCACAAACTGGTCTAAAAACAACACAAGTTTTTTTTTTCTCACAGTTTTGGAAGCTGGAAGTATGAAATCAAGGTGTTGGGAGGGCCATGCTCTCTCTGAAGGCTCCAAGGGGGGATCCTTCTTTGCTTCTCCCCAGATTCTGTTGGCACCTGGCAATCCTTGTGTTCCTTGGCTTATAGCTGCATCACTCAAATCTCTGCTCCCACCTTTACATGACTTTCTCATCTCCTTTGTCTGCATGACATCAGTCATTGGATTTAGAGCCCACTCTAATCTAGTATGACCTCATCTTAACTTAATGACATCTGCAAAGACCCTATTTCCATATAAGTTTCCCTTTCTGAGACTGCAGGTAGGTACAAATTTTGGGGTAGATGTTATTCAACCCCACTATACTTCATATCTTATTTCTCCTTCTTGAGCGTCCAAAATCCTCTTCTCTCCTTTATTAATTGTTGGCTATATTCCAGGTCCTGGAATAACCAATAGAGATTAAAGGAAAAAAATTTAAAAAGAGGAGTAAAATATAGTCCTTGCTCTTGTTGTTGTTGTTGTTATGTGCCATCGAGTCGGACATGACTCATAGAGACCCCTGCTTGGGTTTCCGAGGCTTGCTCTTAAGGGGCTTATAAATATGGCCATCTGCCTGGGATTTGAAAGAGTAGAGGTAGACAATTTAACAGTAGTTGGATTGAGGTTCAACTTCCCAGGAGTGTCCTTGCATTTTCTGGAAGTAATATGAAAGATGGAATGCACTGCTGTGAGTTTGACATCCAGAACTGACATCCCCCACACTCCTTATTAGTGTCCTGTATCCACGTGGTACACATTCAATTAAAAACTTTATAAGTATTATCCTAGAAGCCACCCTGAGAGTAGTATAACATGAGCAGGCCCCTAGAGGATGCAGGGACAGGTCCACTTCAAAGAATGGCCCACCAACACATTTCCAGATACGATAATGGTTTCCCAGTGGACAACCATACTGGAGACTGCCCCAGTCAACAAGGTTAGGGTCTACACTCCTCTCTTTGTCTCCACCCTCTCCTTCTCTCTTATGAGAGTCTTATTCTATTATCTTCTCTATAAAGAACGAAAGAGGGGGAGGCCTTCAACGAGATGGATTGACATGGTGGCTGTGATGATGGGCTCAAGTATAGCAGGGATCATGGAGCTGGCGCAGGATTGGGCAGTGTTTCGTTCTGCTGTGCGTGGGTCGCTATGAGTCAGAAACAACTCTACGGCACCTAACAACAACAACAAAGAATGAATGTCATCCACTCATTTGCCCTTTCTCTTTTCCACAAGGGAAAACAAACCATCCTTGATGGCTAAGAAGAATGAGAATAGCACACAAATATGCTCCTATACATATTTTTATTCTGTAACATTTCACATTTTAAATAGTAGTTCCTGACAATATACCAGCTGGCTTTTCTTTAATATGGGCAATAAGGACAGCAATTCACATTTAAGGGTGTTGGTATCACCACAAACAACAGATGGGTAAGTAGAGACCATTTGGGGGATGGTGAGGATGTTGTTTGGAGTTGGGGGAAGGGTTTGTTAAAAGAAAACAAGAAGAGAGACTGGGAGGAGAGTAAGACTCCTACATTTGCAGAAGTCATTACCATTCTAAATAGTGGCTTGATTGCTTTCCTGGCAACATCATGTTGAGACAAGGCAAAGGAAGGAACACTTCCTAGTGGTTGAGTGCCTGTCTGCAAGGAGAAGGAAGTTCAAGGACACATTTGACAAGAGGCCAGTGTCCACTGATCAGATGAAGCTTCCTCAATCTGCATCCACCACATACACCCTTCTGTATTGAGTACCAATAGAGCTGGCATTGTGTTTAGCAAGAGAAGGTTCAAACTTATCACAGTCAAAACAATCTGTTAAGTTAGTTTGCAAACACACCATGGCAAATTCGGGGATATTATGTTTTTCTAGCTTCCTCTTAGGTATTTTCTGGGACTAAGTCAGAATGAGCACAGTCTTTTGCGTAAAACAATACCCCCAAACCTAGTCCTCAGTAAACAACTGCATTTTACTGCTGCCTAGAGTGGCTTGCTTCCAGAAAGCTTCAATATGGTAGAGAACTAGGTTTAGGCCTTGATGGCTCAGCCCAGGCCACAGGACAACCACCAGAGTTTCAGGTGTTCAGTTGGATATAATTAGTCCTTAGAATCCTATACAAGACTAAATGAAATCCTAGGCAACTTCTACCCAAGTAGATTCAAACCCTAGAAATGAATCTGGGATCATCTCCATACTCTAGTATATCCTCTAATTATTCCTCCAAAGTCTGTAATAAGCTGGACCGACACAAGCCTTCCAAAGTGTCAAAACCAAATTTGCTCTCAGAGGCTTAAGGCAGGGGTGCCCAGAAATTTCATCAGGCCAAGCAACATGCCTGCTGGAATCTACTACTATCAACCTCCTGTCGTGTCCTAATGTTTATCAATGGGCAATTAATATCTATCCCTTTAAATTTGGCTGTTACTATCAGATAAATAAGATTTTTTTCTCTGAATTCCTTTCATTAATACAAGCTAAAAAGATACAGGCCCAAGTATCTAAATCTATCTAAAAACTATTTTAGAAGAAAAGCAGTCCCCCTCCCCCAGCTAACATGAGATTTTCTGCTACATGAACAATGACCCAGAAGTTTAGAAGAGAACTTAATAGTGGTAACAAATTTATATCTATATAGAAGAAGGGGGAAGTAAGCACTGGAGACAATTCTAAAGAACTTACCTATTTACAAGTTCTAGTATTTACACAGGAATTTTCTCAAAATACAATGATTCAAAGACTCAACAAAGGAGATGAACAGAGCAGAATGGCTGCACACCGGACTCATGCAGCCAGGGTAAAAATCTAGAGACAGCTCTGCTCTCATGCAAGCAAAGCCAAAATATCCCTGAATGAAAGAGACGGCAAAAGAAAGGGGGTAAAGAAGCAGCCCAGGAGGCAAAGATGCTCAGAAAGCAGAAGAGGCATGAAGCAGGGATAAAGGTGTCAGCCTCAATTGTTCCTGGTGCCCAATTTTTCAGCAAAGTCAACAACAGCTTACATAAACACAGGCCCAAAGTTACCACGGTAAAAAATCAGGACTGTCAGAACAATCAAAATGACACATAAAATAATATATGGACTTCATCAGAGATGGGTCATTTAAACTATTTCTCTTGCTCCCCTTGTCATAGGAAAATAGTTATTCTTATGGCCACTAAATATATATATAGATTGAAAACCTGAGGAAACAGGATACGTAAGACAAGGAAAAGATGCAAATGCTCACATGGCTAACTCAGTCTTCCACTACCAAGTTCTTTCTCACTGCTGCCTTATGATTGGGAAGTGGCCGAGATACAGGTGGGGAGAGAATAAGGAGAAAAATGACAAGTAACCCTCAATATCAGAGGTAGGTCATCTGGAAGACTCAAGACCAAACCAAATCAAACTCACTGCCATCGAGTTGTTTCTGACTCATAGCGACACCCCCTTGGGTTTCCAAGGTGATATCACTATGGAAGTAGATTACCCAATCTTCCTTCCGAGGAGTGGCTGGTGGGTTTGAACTGCTGGTTAGCAGTCAAATGCCTTAGTACTATGCCACCAGAGCACAAAATAACCAAGCAAACCAGATGTACTTTATAAGAGCAAGAAACTGGATCCCTGGAGCTTGAACACATCTGGAAAATACTTCACCACAACATTAAAAAAATACACACACAGTATAACAAAAAACATTTCCTATTACAGAACTTCACTGGAACTTCCCAGCAAGAGCTTATAAATTAGACATACAAAAATAAAACACTTGTAAATTCACATTTCCAAACTACTCATACAGAGTGCCTTTAAAAAAAAAAAAAGAAAAGAAAAACTCAACCTGCTGCCATCGAGTCGATTCCGACTCATAGTGACTCTCTAGGCCAGAGTAGAACTGCCCACAGGATTTCCAAGACTTTAAATCTTTATGGAAGCAGACTGCCACATCTTTCTCCCACACAGTGGCTGGCGAGTTTGAACCGCCAACTTCTCAGCAGCTGAACACAAGTCACTGTGCCACCAGTGCTCCTCAGAGTGCCTATGGGAGTTAACTTAGGGATTGAAAAGGTAGGAGAGATACCCCAGCCACAGATCATGCTGTTATCAAAGAATTCCAACACATCTTCCAAAGTGCTTTGTAACAATCACATGGAGGCGCTAAAATGAGGTTGAAGAAGTCTTCCTTTTCTTGAAAGACAGGGTATTCATTCTATTCATCTCCTTAGAAACTGAAGATTCCATCAGACTATACCTGGAAAAAAGGAGGCAATACCAGTGACTTTTTCAGTCATATTTTCATGATAGGAATTTTCAAAAAAATAGAAGACATGGGAGAAAGCTAAAGGTCAGAATATTCCTTTAAATATTTTCCTGTTTTGTCTCACCCCAACAGTTTGTAAATGTCCTTCCAGGAAGCTCCAGAGACTTAATAATTTTCTATGCTAATTCCTCAACTTTGAACTAGACCATAGCAGGCCAGAGAGAGAGGAGTATATACATTTTGAGCACAATAATTCTTTGTTGTATGGAACTGCCACCAAAAAAAAACAAAAAAACAAACTCACTGCCGTGAAGTTGAAGCTGACTCATAGCGACCCCTCCTTGGGTTTCCGAGGAGGTATCTCTATGAAAGTAGACTGCCCCATCTTCTTTCCGAGGAGCGGTGGTGGGTTTGAACCACCAGCCTTCTGGTTAGCAGTCAAATGCCTTAGGCACTGAGCCATCAGAGCTCCCATGGAACTACCACAGGTCCTACATAATGTTAGCATCACTGGCCCCTACCCAAAAGTTTCCAGGGTCACCTACCTCCTCAGTCATTAGACAATAAAAAACATGACCTCACATTTCCAAATGCTCTGGAAGGGAGACAGTACCACTTCTAGCTAGAAACAATGAACTGAGGACCACTTCTTAATGATGATGACTCCCTCAGGAAATAGTGCTGGTCTAAACCAAGTGGTCTAATACCCAACTACTCAAGAAAAGAAAAGCTCCATTATCCTGCCTTCTAAAGAGCAATGTTAGAGTTGGCACTTGTCTGAAAGCTCCACAAGTAACTAAATAATTCTTTCAGAAGCTATTCACCTGGTAAGGAGAATCAACAAACTTTATCCTAGAAAGGAATCTTCGCAGCTCCCCCCGGCCAATTTTGGGGGTAGTCTCCTTTAGCTGGACCATTTGGCCCTCCATGAGTGCCCACCGTAGACTAAGCTTGCTGACCACCAGGGGTGCTGAATGGCCCTCAGAGCTTTGCCCTGTTGTCCTGGTAACATAAAAGGCATCTTTCCAAAGGTCGTTAATTCCAACTGAGAAAGAACAAAAACAAGAACAGTTAACAAGGACAGATACTTTCCACGAAAAGGAGAGTGGTTTGGGTCAACAGATTCATTCATTCATTCATTCATTCATACAAGAAATTTATTGAGTACCTAATAAATGCAAGGGGTCCCAGGGTGGTGCAAACAGTTAAAGATGTCAGCTGATAAGTGAAAGACTGGAGGTTCAAGTCCACCCAGCGGTGACTCAGAAGAAAGGCCTGGTGATTGACTTCTGAAAAATCAGCCTCTGAAAACCCTACGGAGCACAGTTCTACTCTGACATACATGAGGTCACCATGAGCTGGAGTGAACTTGATGACAACTGTTTCTGGTTTGTAATAAACATAAGGCACTGAGCACAGAGTGGGTGCCAAGAGATGAATAACTGGATGCTCGCAAAGCAGCATACTTGTCTCCTCCATGTTTGTACCTTTACTTCTCTAAAAATTTTAAGAAAACGCCAACTCAGGAAATGAGAAGATGTGCCAACTACAGTGAGAATTCAGTATTTTCAAAAAAACAAGCCAATTAGCAAACTAGGAAGCCTGAAAAGTCCTAGATTGTCAGTACATGGTCACATAAGCAATTTACCTAGTTAGTATTGATTGTGCCTCATCTTTAAAACAGGAATTATAATAAAAATGGTCTCGAGATTCTTAGCATCACTTAACATTGACCAAATGATAATATTTTATGCTAATATTGAAAAATAATTCATTTAGATCTAGTAACAGAATTTTACAAGCTGACATGTCCTCAGCTCCCCACCATACCCAGGTTCTTCCCAATGCAGCCCACTAAATTGGGAGCAGGAGCTCTGACAGCATAGTGCCTAAGGCACTTGACTGCTAACCAGGAGGCTGGTGGTTCAAACCCACCAGCCACTCCTCGGAAGGAAGACTGGGCAATCTACTTCCATAGTGATACTGCCTTGACAACCCAAGGAGGGGTTGCTATGAGTCTGGGCAGACTCGACAGCACATAACAACAACAACAAATTGAGAGCATCAACTGTATGCCAGGCACTGAACCAGCAGTTGGGAATCTAAATAATAATCTATAAGCATTAGCTTCAACTTCATAGCACAAAACTAAGTTAAGTGGAGAACAAGTTCTTGAGTGCCAAGAAAATATGGAAAGAAGTAAATAAACGCAGCCAGTCCAGTTTTTTTCTTGCCAGCAGAACAACAGATTTCCTTAAGCTACACAAGACAAGGAATGTCTTGAGGACCCTCAGACATTTCCAGACTAGCAAGAAGCAATGGCAATGACAAGAACAGATATATGCACACCCATGTTCATCGCAGCACTATTTACAATAGCCAAAAGATGGAAACAACCTAGATGTCCATCAACTGAAGAATGGATAACCAAACTATGGTACATACACACAATGGAATACTATGCAATGCTAAAGAATAATGTAGAATCTGCAAAACACTGCATAACGTGGATGAACTTGGAGGACATTATGCTGAGTGAAAAAAGTCAATCACAAAACGACAAATATTGTATTAGTCCGTTATTGTAAAAGTTAAAGAAAGGTTTATCTATAGAAGGAAATTTTCTTTGTTGGTTACCAGGGGTGGGAGGGGGGTGGAGGGAAGGCTGTTAGATAGATAAAGATAAGTATTGATTTGGGTGAAGAGAAGGGCAATGTACCAAATGTGAGTGACCAATATGGCAGCATCGAGGATGAGAAAGACAGAGAGAGGTACAAGCAACAAATATGAACCCTTTTGCACATACAGTACTGCGTTGTCAGTGAAGGAAAACATGGGTATATGGATGGATAGATGGGTGGACAGGCTAAACGATTAGGTATGTCTATGAAATGGGGAGTGTATCCAAGAACATATATAGGGTTGGCAGACAATGGTCCTATAAGTTTATGTGAATGATCAGAATTCCCAGGTGAAGAGTAGAGCTGACAAGGGGCAAGGTTGTGGTCACTGCTTGGTCACAGCCAGCTACCCAGAGGGACCGAGTAGTTGAACCTGCAGGCTTGGGACCATAGTCGCAGGGGACATCAAGCTCAATTGGCATAACATACTATACAAAACACTGTTCCACCTCCTACTTTGGCAAGTAGCAACTGGGATCTTAAAAGCTAGCAAGCTGCCATCTAGATGCAACGATAGGTCTCTCCCCGTCCAGAGCAAAGAAGAATGAAGAAAACCAAAATTCACGGAAACAATTAGTTCTAGTGACTGGTACACCATACGATCTGCAGCCTATACAACTATGACACCAGAAGAACTAGATGGTGCCCGGCTACCACTGTCATCCACTTGGAAGGGGATCTATGTAGGAGATCCTTGATAGAAAGGGAGAATAATGTGGAACAAAACTCAAAATCATTTGGAGAAAAAGAAAAAAAGGTGGGGACCAGGTTTGCTAGTCCGATAGAGCCTGGTGGAACCACTGAGACTATGGCCCCTAGCTGCCCTTCAGGTCTAGAATTGAACCCACACCTGCGGTTTCCAGCCAAACAAAATACAGGCATATGAGTTGAACATTTACCTCAAGTAGATACACTCTTTGGAGAGAACAATCATGGGAGAAAGAAGGGCTGCTTATGCACAGGGAGACAGCTCAGGGGGCAGGAGTGTATGGAGGGATGGACACTGGGAAGAGGTAACTATGGGGAGGAAGTGAAAGGGGAGCTGTTGCATTGTGGTAAACTGTGGTCAATGTCATGAGACAAAGTGTATGTGAACTTCTGTATGGAAAGTGAATTTGCTCTGTAAATCTTCACCCAAATCACAATAAAAAAAAAAAAAATGCAATGGCATGAGTTTCCAAGGCTTTGGTTTCCTGAAGTAAGGGTACCCAATATATGATCCCAATTTTGCATTACAATATTTAGACAGATGTATAAACTAGAAGAGCACTTCCTTAACAGTGGGTATGAGTGGTCAGATTAAAGGTGACATTTCTATTTTTCCTTTAATTTTTCTGCTGGTTCCAATTTTTATGCAATGGCATGATTATTTTTGCTATTCAAAAGAAAGCCTCCATGTATGTGTTACATTGAATGTAAAACAAGCTCTTAAAGAAAAAAAAAAGTCTCCACTGACCCTAAATCAATGTCCTGAAAAAACATATTCTACCTCCTTTACAATATGCCTCGATATCAATTCAAAATTCTACAGCTCCTAGAGAGCCAAGAAACTAGTCTTGTGCAGTGCCTGGCATGTAGTTGTATGTCTGCTGTATGAATCCTCATTGTCACCTTAGAACCCTCTGTGGACAGGAATGATTTTCACCTCAGAGGATATGTAAGCATGGTGCGCCCACCGAGACAGCACTCCTGCAGTGCCCCTAGGCACCAGAGAAGATGTCTTAGCACAAACCTCCCACTGTCATTTGAAAAGCACACATCCTTCCCTGGTGGGACAATGGTATTCCGCAGATATACTCCTGTGTTCATGTGGACAGACTCCCTGTCACTGGGACTTACCCTTTGATGCTGTCACTGTGTCTGTGGCATTGGCCAGATCCAGAAGAATCGAGGGGAATGCTGGATGCAGGAGGTAAAGGTGATGAAGCCTGGGTGGCTCAGTTCCTAGGATGCGATCCTGTGATGAGGAGCAAAAAGAATGAGCTAATGTAAAGGTAGTCCTACATTCCCAAACCTGATACTTCTCAGATAAAAAGGGCAGAGAAAAAAATGGTGATTCCTCTTAGATGCTAAAGCCTAATCCCTACTTCGAAAATTTACGAGATATTTTATTGCAAAGAGCGCAAAATACTAACTGATCACTACTTCAAACCACTCTGTGAGCTAGAAAATACTTTCACACACAAAAAGGAAATGTACGTGCACCCAGAGACAAATCTTATGTAGAGATATCCCTCCCTACCCCCTTCTGCCTAAAGGAATATTGGAATAGTGGTTCATCTCTTGCAAGGGAGGGGGAAGGGATTTGTAGAGACAAATCTATTTTTGAAAACATAATGTGCTAATGGCATTTCCCTTAGGCCTCAGAGCCAACTGTGGGCATCATCAGGCTAAAAATTCAAGAAACTTTATCAGTTCCTGAAATACACAGAATTCTGATCAAGCAAAACCAAATCATCAATTACAAAGCAAAAAATCCAAGACCTGAGTGTCATTCCTCCAAACTCCCTGAAGCAAAAGAAATACATATGGGGACAACCTTGACCAATATGACTTCAGTGCAAGGAAGCTATTTGGCTATTTGTACAGGCTCACAGTTGTTAAAACTCTAAAATACTCCCATACTGGTTAGTGGATGCTGTTCTCCTAAACTCTCCAAGTATCTCCTTTCCTCTGGAACCATCCTGGAGCTCTCTTAGTGGAGGAGATGAAATCCCTGAGGGATAACATCACCATTGCCTCCATGTTCTTAGCATGGAAGGAGGAAGAAGTCTGCTAAATGAAGAGAAGGCGACAGGAAACTTGCAACCTCACTCCCACCACACACCCTCAAAGCAGAAGAGAGCAGTTCTCCACACACCCATAGGATTCCCCAACCTGCCTCATCAACCCCATTAAAATACTTCAGGATAGCGGTAAGTAAGTAAGACTTCCTAAACTCTGCTTCATTCTACACATCAGATTTTCTCCCCCATAATTCCCCCAGTTGAACTCTCTACTTTAGCCTGTTCAGTGTCCCTCCCTACCTGCTTTGCCCATCCCCACACCATTTCAGTAGTCTCAGTTTATGTACCTCAAAACACAGCCATATACCTCCCAAGAAACATTCCCTCTCCATTATGGACCAGCCATACTGTAATTATTTCTTCTCTTCAGTAACTGTAGCATATATGAATTATCTGTAACCGTGGACCTAGTATCTTGAGAAGACTTTTGATTCTTTATTTAGCTTCCCACTATGGGTGGCCTGTTGTCAGCTTCCCCATCACTTAGCTGAAAGGCAAAGGTATGTAGGCACAGCTAGGGAGGAAGCAAGATTCTTGCTTTTCTAATGCAAGTGCTATTTTGCTTCTACCCATAACCACTTGAAAATGTGGCTATTCAAACAATAATATCCTCACTCCCAGATAAGGATGCAGAGAGGCTACCTTCTGACAAAGTAAACAAAAGCTACTTCCAGGCTCACTCACAGACTTGGGAGATGCAGCTGATAACCCTTCAGCCCAAAAGAGGAAGACAGACTTCTGATCTGAAGTGACAGCTGAGGTGGTTGGTGTTTCTTTCATGTGGCATGGAACACTGTAACTCCAAGTAACAGATCCAGAGTAACCATCCACCACCATCATCTGCAAAAGACACAGAGAGTGGGCATAGTCAATCCTTAGAAAAGCAGCAGGCCAAGAACATAAAAACACACAAAACAGAATGAAACAAATGCAAGTATTAAAGTAATACATATATTAATAGGCTGAACTTCTTAGATGAAGAAAATTGGATGCTCAGAAAGCATTAAATAGTAGCTAGGGACCTGGACCAAATTCCTACAGCTCTTTTTCCCATTTACTAGAGTTTAAAGAACTGCAGGGTTCTAGAATGGGAAAGGGGCATGATAAATCATCTAGCCCACCTCTCATTTAAAAGATGAGAAATGGAGACTGCATCACAAAAGGCCTTGGGTTCAATCTGGCAGGGACAAACTCTTCTGAATGAGCAGAGAGGGAAAATGAGACTAGCAATTCGAGATCCCCTCTGGTAGTGTTGGGGAAGACCAGAAGTCAAGTAACACCACATTAAAAAATTATATACTGTCACAAATATATATTATTTCATTTAATTGTCAACAACAGCTCTATGAAGGTAAGCAATCTTATCACCCCTCTTTTATAGATGCAGCAACTGAAGCTGGGAGAGATTACATAATTACTCCAAGGCCACCAGTAAGTAGTGGAGCCAGGACTACAACCCAGGTCTGAAACTCTCAGCATCTCAGCTCTTAACCAATCTATATACTCTCTCCCTTAATCCTCTTAGGAATGCCAAAGAAAAGTATTCACTATGCTTGGAAATGCCCCACATAATTTTCATCTCTGGATCCAGTCCTGGTATTCCTGGCCTGACATGTCTTTCCTTCAGCTTTAAAGGTCCTGCTCACCTTCTCTACCTTCTTATAGTCTTCCTCAACAACGCTAGCCATCAAAGATATCCCATCTTCTCTGAAATCCTAGGCAATATATGTGGACTTAAGTATTTCATTTATTTATACCTGCCTTTCTCCACCCAGAAATTTTAGAAGGCCTAACTCTAAGATATTAATCTCCAGGAAGGAACTCCAGCATGGGAAGGACGTTAGCTTAGAAAAGCTTCCACAGAATGTAATTTAGCACCAAATTATTCTTTCATTTTCTTTAAAGTGTTCATTTTATCCATACAGCTAGACATTGAGTCCTTAGAAGGAAAGGACCATGTTTTTGGTGCTTTTACTCCTCCAAGTGCCTAGCAAAGTATACACTTTAGATATATTCTAAATAACTTGACTCCCAAAATTTTACCTTTTTCATCCCAACTCCATCCTGAATTTGCAGAAGGAAGTCTAAGATCTGATCATCGGTGAAATACCCAGGAGTAGGCTGGCTGCAAATGAGGACAAAAGTAATTAATCAAGAAAACGGAAAAAGAACTCTTTCACTCCCTTCTCTTATATCAGCCCCAAACAACTGTTCTAAGGAGTTCTGAAACATGGGAAGTAGATCTAACTGCAAACATGAGAAGGAGCACACTGCCAACCTGTGCAGGCCTTGAAGACTCAATGTCCAGTAAGGTATAAGATCTTGCCCCCGAAGCAGGACAAGCCCTTGTCTGGTTGTAATCAGGAGGTCACTGCAGTTGGAATCTGGTGCCTTCACCATCTGGAGTAGCTCAACACCATCACTGAATCAAAGAAGACCCCAACAGTTAGTCTTTGATTTGGATGGGATTCTCATCTATTTATTTTAGCTTTTTCTCTCAGTGTGAATATGTTTGCATATACTCTTGTACACATTCTCATCAGTATCTTATCAAGTAGGGGAATTATTTCCTTCCAGTTGAACCTGACTTTCCTGACCCTTAGAAACCAAGGATCCCTAGCTAATCCATGCAAGTTCAAAAGGAACTCTAGGAGAAATGCTATGGTGCCATACCTCTCCTGCTGAACACTCTGAGAAAAATATCAGAGCCAAGGATAAGGCAGGGAAGGCAGGTAGAGATTTAAGTCATAACCACAACACAGGAGGCTTGAAATTGTCATTAAGTTTAGGCAGCTATTTGTAGTTCAAAAAAACCCAAACCCATTGCCATTGAGTTGATTCTGACATCCACTGGGTTTCTGAGGTGGTAAATCTTTATGGAAGTAGATTGTCCCATCTTCTGTCTGCAGAATGCCTGGTGGGTTCGAATTGCCAACCTTCTGGTTAGCAGTCAGATGCCTTAGGCACTGGTTACACTTCATCAAATTATTTCTTTCTCTGTACAACTGGGACCATTCTATTTAATACCTGTCAAATTTGCAGAAACATGATATTGCTTAGAAAATAATTTGGAAACTTCTGGTAGAGAACAGACAATTATCATCTAGGCCTGGGTTTGAATGGGTAAAATCCATTGCAAGTAATAAATTACATGGTTTTAGTTAATAAGTAAATAAAAATTAAAAATAAATTTTCATGGAAGCTATCCTTACTTCTGCCAAAATGATGCCTTAACTCAGAAAAAAATACAAGATAGACACTTCACCACAGCTTTATAAACAGTTATTTTATTTTATATTTTTTATTGTGCTTTAGGTGCAAGTTTACAGAACAGAATTTTACATTAAACATGTCATGGACATTTGGTTTCACTCCCCAATTACCATCCCCAACCCTAACCCACTCTCCTCCTCTCCCTTCCCAGTAACACACACCCCCACCCAATACCCCTCATAGTTATGCACTCCTGTGTGTCTTGCTTTTCCTCCATGTGAATGTTGCCTCTCTGGTGCTCTGTGGTCGATTGCTCCAAGGGATGCATCTCCGTAAAGTATATGGGTGCGTCACTCTGGATTGAGTGGTCTGTGTGTATGTCTTATTTAGCATTGGGCTGAGAGCCAGCCCCTGGGAGTGAGTTTTATTCCAGGCCCAAAGTATATCCCAGGCCCAAAGTGTATCCCAGGGTCTCACCAGACTCCATGCAACCAGTTATTCTGGTCATTATTGTGATAAACAGTTATTTTAAATAAATCTGTCTCAAGGTTTCCCAGCCACATTCTCCCCACTCTTATTTGGATGCCTAAAAAAATTTCTTCCTTTGTAACCTATGTCCAAAGTGATCATATATTGTAGTCACCACACATAAATATCAACACATTATGTTACCAAGAGAAGAAAACTTCTCACTCACCTTAACCAATCAGAAAATGGTATTATTACATCTGGCACTGTTTCCCACAAAACATCTGCCCACGTATTCACCAGCCCAACCAAACTTAAGAGTTTCCATGGCACATAAGTTCACAGGAGATCTCACTATGACCAAGGACAGACATCTGCCCTACCTGTAAACGTCAATGAGTTCAGAAAGGTTGATGGATCTTCGCTTCTCCCATTCTGGCTCTTCTAGCTGTAGAGAAGGTGGTGAGCTGTCTCGATTTTGGGCCTGAACAAAAATGTCCCGCAGTGCGACAGCTTGAATATTGCCTAGCACCACAAGAAGAACCAACATTGAGATGGTATAGATTTAATAGAACTACCCCAGGGTAAGGATCAGAGCAATAGACATGGAACCTAATCAGATGAGTCTAACAAAGCCCACTCCAACTGGTCCAACATGGAGTGAGGGGGAAGTGGTTAAGCAGATGCTAGACAAAGATTCCTCTCCTGGAGGAGGCATCAAGGGAAAGCAGAGTTAATAATCTGCAATAGGTGTGGGAAATGATCGGTCCCTGCAATAAGAGATGATGAAAGGGCTGGTATCAGCAGTTTCTGGCATGATCATACATGCCAACAAGGAGCAGCAGCACAAACTAGCCTTACTTCTTACCAAAGCCAAACAGGATGTAGACAGCGCCATTTGTGGTGATGTAAACCTGAGGACCAATCAGATTCCCCACTCCCACGATGTTGTACTTCACAGGCCGACCCACTGGATTCCCCGTCCGGCCAGATACCAGCAGAAAGCATAGATCTGGCTGAAGAAGTGAAAGAAGAGGGTGAAGTCAATAGAAGCCTATCATTTTCTGACCAGCTTTTCCAGACAGCCACTGCCTCCTCATTAGCAAAGGGTTCAGAAACACTTTCCAAAGCTGCCTCTTTATATCTTCCTACAAGTGAGAAAGTGAAGCAAATGTCACATTCTCTTATTAGATATGTACAAAAGACAACTTTATGGTAGCCCAGACACTGACTCAACAGTGTCCTGAGGTAGAAAATTCTAATCTAAAGCTAAAAAGGCCAGCTGAGCCCCAAGTCTATACTCTTAATATCCAGAAATGTCCAGTAATATTTGATCCCAACTTGAGTAAATTCAGGCAGTGCTCTCCCATCATAACATTAGATGTGTGGCCCAGCTATTATGAATCTTATCAATCAGGGGTTGGCAAACCTTTTCAGTGAAGGCTGAGATGTAAATATTTTATTTAGGCTTTACAAGCCAGAAGGTCTCTCCACATTTACTCTGCTACTGTACCATGAAAGCAGCCACAGACAGTACATAAATGGATAAGCATGACTGTATTCCAATAAAATTTCATTTACAAAAACAAGCGGTGGGCTGGATTTGACCTGCAGGCTACAGTTTACTGATACCTGCTCTATAGGATTTTCTTTTGAAGATAAAGTCACTAAAAGAAGAAAAAAAAAAACTGTTGCCTTCAAGTTGATTCTGATTCATAGTGACCCTATAGGACAAAACAGAACTGCCTCATAGAGCTTCTAAGGCTATAATCTTTACGGAAATTAATTGCTGCATCTTTCTCCCTCAAAGCGGCTGGTGGGTTTGAATTGCTAACCTCTCAGTTAGCAGCCAAGCACTGCAACCACTGGGCCACCAAGGCTCCTATAGTCACTAGTTGGGAATGAAATATAGGGACTATATCAATATCTTGACAAAGTTTATCATGATTTTCTTATGAACAAGGTGAAAAAATATGGTTTGTGATATACCTAAATATAGATGTCTAAAGAGTCAATGCCAACCTGGAGAAAGGTTGTCAGTGGAATGTCACAGCACTCTACTATTGCCCCAATCCTATTAATTTTTTTTATCAATGACTTAAATAAACAGAATTCAAGCTTATCACAAAACTGAGAGAGATAACTAATATGATTTATGATAAACTCAAAAGATGAAAAGGTCTTAGGCTAGAAGGTGGGTCAAACTTCACCACAAGACAAAATTTAACAGAAAAATGTAAAGTTCCTCATTTACATTTAAAATACCCAGTACCTCAAAATAGAGGCCATTTATGTAAAAAAATAAAATAAAATAAAAGATCTGGGTGGGTTAATTGATTATTAACAAAAAGTGAATCTACAGACTACTGCAGTCTTCAGCTGCTTAAACAGTGTCTATATCAAAAGAGGAGCTCTAGTAGCGTAGTACCTAAGGTACTTGACTGCTAACCAGAAGGCTGGCAGTTCAAATCCACCAGCCGCTCCTCGGAAGGAAGATGGGGCAATCTACTTCCGTAATGATACTGCCTCAGAAACCCAAGGAGGGGTCACTATAAGTCAGGTCTGACTCGATGGCAAATAACAACAACAACACAATATCAAAAGAGGCAACAATTTCATTATTATTAATATAATTGATTATCCTACAAATAGGACACTGTTTTCAGAACTAGATGCTACAATTTAAGAGAGAGGTAGACAAAGTGAAGCACAAAAAGAAAAAAAAAGCATAAAAGAAAGGAGTAAAAACTTCACGTTGCATGAGGAACAGTTTAAGAAACCAGGGATATTTAACCTTGAGAGTAGCAAGGTTAGAGGATAGGTAATAGCTAAAGAGCTTTCATATAGAAAGGAGATTGGACTCATTCTGAATAGCTTCTTGGGACTAAAGCTAGAACAAAGAATGGAAGCTACAAGAAAGCAGATTTCTCAACATGACAGTTTTCTAGAGGTGTCCAAAAATGAAATGGACTGCCTCACAAATTAGTGGTTTCCATCAGCTGAGTGCTCAAGGAGAGTGTAGGTGCCAATGTGTCTGGAATGCTGTGTCAGAGATTACAATGATGTGAGAGGTTAACCACATAGCTTTTAATGTCTCTTCCCACTAATGTTCTAGACCAACTCAGTTCTTGAAATCCCACTCACCCTAAACCCATATCTAAGAATGTAATTACTCCCAGTCATAGACATAATATGTTTCATTCCTTGTGAAGAGAGAAACTTCCGTACAGGTTCCTCAAGTTCTCTGTTGCTGATACCAAAAACCAAAACCAAATTCACTGCCATCGAGTTAGTTCCAAGTCATAGCAACCCCAACTTGGGTTTCGAAGGCAGCATCTCTATGGAAGTAGATTGCCCAGTCTTCCTTCCGAGGAGTGGCTGGTGGGTTTGAACCGTCAGCCTTCTGGTTAGCAGTCAAATGCCTTAGGCACTACACCACCAGAGCTACCCTGTTGCTGATAGAGAGGTCTAAAGAGGTCAACGTAAAGAAGAAGCTACTGCTCTGAACCCATCACCTCTCCAAGATTTTTCTAGTATTATCACTTTTCAGGCAGAATGGGACTATTCCACATCTGGACACTATTGTGCAAATGAGCAAAATCTGAAAAGCAAGCTGGGTAATACACTGGGTCCCAAACCCATTGCTGTCAAATTGATTATGACTCATAACGACACTATAGGACAGAGTAGAATTGCCTCCATAGGGTTTCTGAGGCTATAAATCTTTACAGAAGCATACTGCCCTATCTTTCTCCCATGGAACAGCTGGTGGGTTTGAACCGACGCCCTCTCAGTTAGCAGCCAAGTGCTTTAACCACTGTACCACCATGGCTCATATACATTGGGTAAAGACAAAAAAAAAAACAGAGTAGGAGCAGACAAAAAAGCCAATTCCACTAGCAAAGGCCTTCTCATTATGGAGTATCTCCAAACCTACTAATATGGATTAATTAAGAAGCCAGTTGGGACATTAAGACTGAGATCTTTAAACTTGTTCAGGTTATATAAAATTTTTCAAAGCCTTGCTATGCCTCTGCTTACCATAATTCCATTAAGAAAAAACTCTCCACACTTTCCCCTTTGGAACCTTCACAGAATCACTTACTGCTAGAGGTATTAACTAAAAATTTCTTTCCCCCTGGTCTGTTTATTCACAGTGGCTGTGGTAAAGAAGATAATATGAGTAACTCCTGAAGTTTTGATTCAGGTTCACTGAGACCAACATGCTAGCTGAAGAAAACTAACAGAAAGTACCCTTAAAAGTGAGTGAGCTTCAGAAATTTAGCTCATTATCTTCTTTCTTCTTATCTAAAGCAGACACATAAAACTATTGCCTAGTATAGAAGTGCTCCTCAAAACTTTTAATTGGTGGAACACTTTGAATTTATGGTACTCTTGGCAGAAAACCATACTGACAAATTTAATTCAATTCTAAACAATTTACTTGCAGAATGTATAACTCCACTCCATGTATACAATCACCACAGCAAACATGAAGTCTATTATTAAAATTAAAATAAGCTATCATACAGGCAAAATTATCTGTATCCATATTTTCCCATGAATATTCTTTTCCAATTGTTTAATTCTTTTGTCCAGAAGCATTTCCTGACAGACTAGCACTAGGAAGTCTGAAAAAAAGTCTTAGAGAAGCTTTGACAAAAACTCTGAGAAAAGCTTATTGAATGAAAGATTAAAATTGAGATAATTCTGTTTATTAATTTATTCTTTCCTGTGATTTGGGAGAAAGACTACTGTCACCTTACCTGTGCCCAGGACAACTTGTGCACTGGAAACAAAGTTTTCATAGCATATGCTCCAACTCTCCTTGCTTTGGTCATTGTTATCATTACATGTTTGATGTAGAGACTTTGTTTTCTATATATATTTTATGAACTTTCTTTAAGTCTACCCTATTATTTTATGGTTGAAATTGAATTTAAGTATCTATAATATAGTAAAACAAACAATACATTTACATGGTAAAGAACAAACACTATTCTAAGCACTTTAAATGTATCAGCTCTAATTGTCATACCAGTCCTACAAGTAGTTATTAGCATCCCCATTTGACACACACAATAAAGCAGAGCTTGGATGAGTTATACGGCATGCCAATGCCACAAACCTACAAAGTGGTGGAGGCAAAATTCAAATGCAGACTACTGTGGTTCCAAAGCTCATTATCCCACAGTTAATGGAACCAAAATGTGACTGCTAGCAAAAATGGGCTTATAATGGTAATTTAGTCACTGAATCTCCCAAAGAGAATTTATTTAAACCTAAAAAAATAACCAAATCCACTGCCACTCTCTTGATTCTGACACATAATGACCTGATAGGACAGAGTGGAACAGCCCCAAAGGGTTTCCAAGGCTGTAAATCTTCACAAGAGACTGCCTTATAGTTCTCCAATGGAATGGCTGATTTTGAACAGCCGACCTTTTGGTTAGCAAACCCAAAAAAACAAACTCACTGCTGTCGAGTCAATTCGACTCATAGCAACCCCGCCTTGGGTTTCTGAGGTGGTATCTCTATGGAAGTAGATTGCCCAATCTTCCTCCCGGGGAGTGGCTGAGAGGTTTGAACCGCCAGCCTTCTGGTTAGCAGCCAAATGCCTTAGGCAGTACACCACTAGAGCTCACTTTGGTTAGCAGTCAAATGTAATAACCATTATACCATCAGAGCTCCATTATTTAAACCTAAGCCTTAGTTTAAAAAAAAGATCAAGCAGAATTTATAATAGTAATACTAGGAACTGAGATAACTAAAAGTGAACATTCCCAATAAGAAACAAAAATCATTCCATATGGATCATACCTGCAATTCCCCAATAGCCAGAACCACAAGATCTCTAATGCCGTCTTCATCCAAGTCTGGGAGCACCACGACTGGGGCAGCCAAGGTACCATTGGACAAGTACTTTGGGTTTAAAGTCCAAATGGTTTTCCCTAGGGAAGGACAAACAGGCTGATAACAGTTATGGCTTTCTGCCTCTGGAAAAGGCGGATGCAACATTCTCAGCCCACAAGAGAAAACTCAATGGGCTGGACAACAGTGACTCCTACTTACTTTTTTCCTTTGTCTAATTGGAAAGGAAAGGAGGAGGGGGTCTGAGCTAAAACCCTCACATCTGGGTTTTGTTTGTTTGTTTTTAAGATAAGATAAAATCTCTCCAAGAAAGAATAGCTAATTTGTCTAGGTCAGGGGATCCTAGAAATTATTGCAACTATTAAGGAGCCAACCAAAAGACCAACTCCCAGTCCTTCTACCACGTTTATATAATTAAACACCAGAAAAGTCATATGTAGGTTTCAAGATGTCTTTAGCTCGAGAGTTAACTCAATTCAAAAGTTTTTCATTCAGAAGCACCCACCACTGAACTCCTACCTTGAAAACTAGGAAGTTATTATTTGTTCAGCTTTATGGAAGCCCATGGTCCAAGGTGCTAACTGCTTTTTTAACAAGCCTACTGACAGTATACTTATGACTATGTAAAGAGCTTTCATTATATTTGATTTTTTTTTAGCATGTATGTCTAAAGGTAATAAAAAGATAAAAAGCCAAATTAACCTGCCTCAACAAACATTAAGTTTCTTCACTGACATATTTTTAAGCAGTTATATCCATGTTTACCTACTGACCCCATTTACAAGTCTGAAGACAAATCTCAGCTGTCATTGTACAAAGAACAGATAGTTGGGAGACTACAAACCAAAGGTCTCAGGACAGTTTCTGTTTTATAACTCAGTTGAGCCTGATCCTATCTCTAAATAGGCTGAATCATAGATCTCTTCACTCAATGTATCAAAACCTTTTCTCTTATTTCCTTTAATATCTAACTTCCAGAAGGTAAATCAGACTTTCTACTATGTAAGAATGGAGAGGTCCCTTCCTCACTGGATAGATCTAATCCAGGATTATGGCTCACTGGAGCAGAGATCCCTCCCGGCAAATTATCTTTACCTGATGTTGCATTGAATGCACTGAGCATCTTATGGGTTCCTGTCACAAGGCAGATGGTTGCAGCCAAGCTTCCTGGCATCAGATCCAAACATGTAACATCGCGGGCCTCCTCTGGGAGGGGACTGGACCACAGTGTGCTGCCATTCATCCCCGAAAGGCACAGAAGAATAGCTATTGGCCTGGAGACACCTAAAAGCACACAAGAGAGAAAAGAAAGCAAAGGAGGCAAAGAAAAAAAGAAGCAGAGAGGAGCAGGAGGCCAGAGAATAAAAAATAAATGGAGGTAAGGTAGTCACCCTTCTGTACTTCTGACCACAAGGTCTGAAAAGAGTACATAGGTGCTCAATGCCTTTCTCATGCTGTGGACCCCTTTCAAGCTGCCTGCTATGCACTGCTGCTTTTGCACTTTTTACAACACATTTGTTTATATGTCTGGCACCTCGGCCCCCACTAAATAGTGATATTCTTGGTGATAAAGACTGTCTCATTATTTACTCTGTCCTCGATGCTTTGCAAAGTGCCTGGCACATAACAACCATTTGCTGAATAAAAGACAAGAGTAAAATCAAGAATATGGAAAAACAGTTGTTGCAACAAAACAGTAACAGCAACAGGAAAAAAAAAAAAGGAGGAAAGGTATACTCAGACAAGTGAGATTGATCTAGAATATATATACAGAGAACAAAATACCAGAATTCTAATCATCCCTAGAAAATGCTTCCTGAGAGTAATAAGAAAAAAAAATATTGAAATAAACCTGGATTATACGCAGCAAAGATCAGCAGGTCCTCCTAGTCTAGAGTTCTATGGAACTCGTGGATATAGTCTCAGTCAGGAAAGAATATTTGGCAAACTTAATATCCAGGTCCAAGCATGGCTAGTAAATGATTAGAGTAACTCACCTGTTTAGTATATAATCCTTTACGTCACTTAAACATATCACAATTAAAACTTTCTCTTGCCAGTTTTACAGTCAAGTTTTACAGTAAAGATACGGATATTGGACCATCTCACATATTTTCCACTTCTGTCAATAACGAATACACATAAACATATGTTGCAACTAATACTTCATGCCACCTGTTCCTCAGTATTACTAATGAAATATATAACCTAAAAACAAATGGCAAACTGTGACTCACTGTTTGAGACTCTGTTGCCAAGCAATGACAAACTGCAGTAATAAATGTTAATTTCCAGATATCCCAAGGATGCTATGATTAAAATACTGGGCTTTTTCCTGCTTAAGGACCCTATTCATTCTCTATAATTTCTCTGGACAGTTTTTTCAGGATATTGAAACTCCTAGAACTGTAACTCCTAGAGATAGGGACCATGTTTGTAACCAACCAGCACCTAGCACAGTGCCTGCCACACAGTGGGCATTCGATATATAAGTGTTGAATGAATTGATGAACAAATACTAATAAATAAAAAACCCAATCCCTCATATGCTCTGTAGCACAGATCTGTGAACCCACGAGCTGGGGTTATGGACACATCAGTTTGGCATAAGGGTTAAGAACATGAACTCTAGAATCAGGCTTCCTAGGTTTGTATCCCAGCTCTACCATTTATCAGCTGTGAGACTTTGGCCATGTTCCTTTTCTTCATCATGTCTCAATGTTTCATTTGTAAAAGGAGAATAATATAAGTCTACCTCACAGGAGGTTGTATTCTTTCTCCACACTTATTCAATCTATATGCTGAGCAAATAATCCGAGAAGCTGGACTATATGAAGAAAAACGTGGTATCAGGATTGGAGGAAGAATCATTAACAACCTGAGATATGCAGATGATACAACTTTGCTTGCTGAAAGTGAGGATGACTTAAGGCACCTACTGATGAAGGTTGAAGAACACAGTCTGCAGTATGGATTACATCTCAACATAAAGAAAACAAAAATCCTCACAACTGGACCAATGAGCAGCATCACAATCAATGGAGAGAAGATTGAGGTTGTCAAGGAATTCACATTGCTTGGTTCTACAATCAATGCCAACGGAAGCAGCAGTCAGGACATTAGACGACGTGTAGCATTGGGAAAGTCAACTGCGAAGGAACTGTTTCAAGTGCTGAGGAGCAAGGATATCTCCTTGAGGACTAAGGTGTGCCTGACACAAGCCATGATATTTCCAATCACCTTGTATGCATGTGAGAGCTGGACTATGAATAGGGAAGACCGAAGAAGAGTTGATGCTTTTGAGTTGTGGTGCTGGCGAAGAATGCTGAAAGTACCATGGACTGCTAAAAGAACTAACAGATCTGTCCTGGAGGAAGTGCAGCCAGAATGCTTCTTGGAAGCAAGAATGGCCAGACTTCGTCTCACCTATTTTGGTCATGTTGTAAGAAGGGACCATTCCCTGGAGAAGGATGTCATGCTTGGTAGGGTGGAGGGTCGACGAAAGAGGGGGAGGCCTTCAACGAGATGGATTGATACAGTGGCTGCGATGATGGGCTCGAGTATAGCAGGGATTGTGGGGCTGGTGCGGGATCGGGCAGTGTTTCGTTCTGCTGTGCATGGAGTCGCTATGAGTCGGAAACGACTCGACGGCACTTAACAACAACAACAACCTCACAGGATTGTGTTGAGGGATAAATTTGTTTAAATATGTTATATACTCATAATAGTGCATAACACATAGGAAAAACTGTATGTTAGCTATATTATTATTTTACACTGTAACCAAATTAGCTTGTCCATATTGTGCCTAAATCTGTATCCTTATGAGTCCTTTCAAATATTAGATTTCTAAAAAACATCTCTAAATGTAAAAGTGAATGAGGGTAACTTTTACTTCAAAGGCAGGAAAAAATGTAATCAGGGTTCAACCAAATAAAAATCAGTTTCACATCTATAACAGATGTCTGCCCAGACTACTTTCACATATCACATAAGCCTTATAATTTCTACTATATTTGAAATCAGAGAGGCAAATAGTTTAGAATTCTCTACAACATACTCACTGGTTCGTTTCAGGGCCTGAATGATTAAAAAGTAGTTACTAGGGCATCCTTAAGGAGCTCTGGTGGTGTAGTGCCTAAGACATCTGACTGCTAACCAGAAGGTTGGTGGTTCAAACCCACCAGGCACTCCATGGAAGGAAGACAGGGCAATCTACTTCCATAAAGATTTACCAACTCAGAAATCCAATGGGGGATGCTATGAGTAGGAATCGATGATGGCAGTGGGTTTGGTTTTAGGTTTAGTTAGAGCATGCTTAGCAGCCTAGGTAGCACAAGTGCTTTACAATCAGCTTGTTAACCTAAAGGCTGATGGTTCAAATTAACCCAGCAGCTCCACAGAAAAAAACCCTGGCAAACTGCTTCCATAAAGACTATAGTCTACTTTGTAACACATGGAGTCACTATGAGTCAGGGTCTGACTTGACAGCAGCTAATAACAGAGCATGTTTAGAGTTCCTACATCAGTTTGCAGACCGTAGTTCTAATCCACTTTAATGGAGTCTACAGGAAAAACAAGTAAAATTTTGCTGAAATAATTCAAAAATGGTTGTACCAGTACATCAACAAGTAACTGCCAGAAATTCAAGCCAGATTCATAAGAGGACAAGGAATGAGAGATACCATTATTGATGTCAGATGGGTCTTAGCTGAAAGCAGAGAATATCAGAAAGATGTTTACCTATGTTTTACTGACTATGCAAAGGCATTTGACTATATGTATCATAACAAATTATGGATAGCACTGAGAAGAATGGAAATTCCAGAATATTTCATTGTGAGGACTTCCTGTAAGATGTCAAAATAGGTAGACAAGCTACACAGACCCTCTTCAACAAAGAAGAGAGAGCACAATTAACACAGACACAGAAGATAATCCTGGAGCATTAAGATTTGAAAGGAAGGATACAGAAGTAGATTCAACACCAACTAGTAGAAGAACCTGAATGAAAACAGTGGGTAAGGAGACAAATGGAACTGAAGAATGTAAGCTATACTGACAGCACAGACAGCCTGAATATTTCCAAGTGGTATCAGGACCTGAGAATTAACCTAAAATTCAGCCCTGCTCGCCAAGGGGTGCATGGATGACTACACAGGTGGCTGATGACTAAAAAGAGAAACAGCAAAGGAGACAAACTGAGCTGTAGACTTCTGGCTGTTTGGAGGGTGCAGCCATTTTGAATGTTTACAAGAGATGACCAGGCACAGCCATTTTGAATGCTTATAAGTAGTGGCCATTTGGGATACTTAAAATGACAGCATTCTCATTCGGATTCCAAGGACATAAGAATAGGCTCCACTTGCCAAAGACAGCATAGACATACAAGAAGCTGATGACTGGAAAGGAGACAGGTCATGAGTGCAAAAGTGCTGTCAACTAGCAAATAGAGGAGCACAATACCTTACTTATTCAGATTATCCAAACAAAACGAAGAAAACAAAAATTTTGGGTGAATCAGTTCAACATACAATAACCAATTCAATATAAACACAAAAATGTCACAATGTCTCGGATACAACAAACCATCATGGTCCACACAAAGAAGCAAGATAAAGCAGTAGAAACAAGAGAGCAGGATACAGACCCAGAACAAATTCCTGATGAAGAAGAAGCACTAGAACACCCTGATAAGGAATTCAAAAGAATTGTATTTAGGTACTTTCAACAGAATGAGAGAGGGATCAAGGAAAACACTTGACAAAAATAAGGAAAACACAGACAAAACCCTCGAACAATTTCAGAAAACAATATAAGAAAAAAATGAAAAATTAGAAATGATAAAAAATCCACAGATTGAAATCCAGAATACTAAATTCTTAGAAATAGATAACACTTTGAATGGGCAAAGGAGTAAAATTGAATCAATGGAAGACATAATCAGTGAGATTGAAGAAAAATACCTCAACACTTCTTTGGAAAGGGATCAATCCGAAAAAAGATCAAAACAAAATGAAGAAAGCCTAAGGTTCATGTGGGATACCATCAAAAGGAATAACCAAAGTATAACTGGAATTCAAGAACAAAAAGAGACAAATAAAACCAGAGAGAAAACTGTTGAAGATTTGTTGGAGAAGAATTTCCCTGATATGATAAAAGATGAGAATATATCCATTCAAGACATCCAATGAACCCCAAACAGGACAGATTTCAAAAGAAAATCACCAAGATATATCATCATCAAACCTAGAAAACCAGAGGCAAAGAAAGAATCCTGAAAG